GTGTGGCAGGGACCAAAGTCATGAAAGCTCACTGGGAGACCTTAGGCCCGTCACTCTCTCAACCTAATCTGTCTCTTGAGGTTGTCGTAAAAATAAAAAGGAAGGATGCTGTAAGCCACTTTGGGTGCTTGTTGAGCGGAAAAATGGGGTTAACTAAATAAATACATATTTTGATGGTTAGGCTAAGGATTTCTAACAGGGAACTCTCATCAACTTTCACCAAACATCCCAGGATTTCCTGAAGGAAATTAAAGAGATAAAAGGGATAAAAGTTTGTATTGTGGATATGCTTTCCGCATCCAAACAAGAGACATGGGAGGAGCTCGGAGTCTAGCAGTTGTGAAGCTGGAGGAAGCAGCTTCCTGACCCTTCCTGTTTCTCATGTTGCAATGAATTCTTTTCTGAATTGATGTTGAGCCTGTCCTGGCAAAACAGTCTCTTAGCTGCTGTCCTCATTTTTGCTTCCTTTTCTCCTAATATGTTAGGCATTCCAAAAAATATCTTTGTGGACAATGGTTGTTACAACAAGTCACCACTACCCAGCACCTGTGGCTTCACTGCAGCTCCTCTACCTCCTTAGCACCACTCAGAGTGCTATTGGGAGTTGCTCAGAAGGCCGCTGTACTCTGACAGAGGCCTCTATCTTCCCTCTCCCTCTTACCGGAGTCCGTGGAGATACCTCCAGGGAACTTCTCCCTGTAAATGTTAATTGTAGCTATTAGCATTCAGAATTTCAGCGGGTGGTTGCCTTGGTTTTACCCCTTTTGTTGAAAACTGTTTTTAGGACTGGGGTCCTCTTTGGTCTGAAAAAGATAGCATATAGACATTGACCTTTAACACTTTTAATGCATGGGGTAATTTTAGCATATCCCTTGATGGTTTCAAAGCCACTGTGAGAGGGACCAGATATTGGAATGCAAATTTACATTGCCAATGTCTCCTGCAAACACTGTGTTACCACTTCAAACCACCCCCTCTGTTTTTCTTTCCAGATGAGAAACCGTTTGCAGTAGAGGACACCTACTTACTCTGCCCGGCACCTGTGTTGCGAGAAGCTGGCATGTAGGTTTGTTTAACAGAACAACGCTTCCCGTTTTAATTATCTTCTTCTTTATTTTGTGCTGTTGTTTGTCTTTGCATGTGTCCTTTCACTGAGATTTGGGGGTGGATACTTTTTTTTGCCTTGAGGGTAGGGCTGCCAAGAGGCTGGGAGAAAAAAATGTTGTGTCCCTTTAGTAGAGGCTTAATATGTCAAAATGGGCAGTTAAAGGCTTTCATGGCATGGAAGTAAATGGTATTAACGGGTAAATAACATCCCATTATGCCTCTATTAAAGGAACAGGGAACTTTTTCTCCAGACTGTTGGCAAACATATTTGATGGCCTTATACTTTAAAAAAAAATCTTTGGATGGGGGGGGGGTTGGGTCTTTACAGCTACAGTTGCCAGCTGCCTGGGGGGGGGGGAATGTCCTGTCCCTTTAATAGAGGTTTAAAGGCATGTTATTCACCCAGTGATGTTGTATACCTCCATGCCATGAAAAGCTTCAACTGCCCATTTCCATATGTTAAGCCTTTCTTAAAAGAACAGCACATTTTCTGCCAGGCCATTGGCAACATTGACTGCAGCTTCAACTGTAGTTCACACGATTTCCTTTTGAGAAGGGAGGTCTGGGAACCCTGTGGTATCTCTCCCTTATATATAAAGCCGTAGTGGGCTCCAACGTTCCAAAATGCACACCTTTAGTGTTTGGCCGCAAGAACTGTCAGTCAGAAGACGCTGGCTGGGTTGACTGGCCGCTTTGTGCAGTCCCGCCCAGCGTTTCAAGGTCCTTTGCATATGGAAGCTGATTGGACTTCACTCCAGTCCACACCTCAAACTCCCCCCCCCCGCAAGGCAGTTGGAATTGCCAGTTGCATATGGAACCTACTGTATTCTGAGGTAAAATATGTCCTCACTCACAACACATCACTTCCCCTTCAAAAGAAACAAACCCAATAACACAATCATGCCACATCACAAAGAAGACAGCTCACACCACAAGCAGAATACCACAAGGCAAAAAAAGATAGGAAAAGGTGGTGTGCAGGTCCCCATTACTGCCACAG